GGTTCAGGAGTATTTTTAATTTGTTGATTAGAGTGAAATAGTATATACTTAGTTTTTTTCTGTATTGAGTCACAGTTTATTGGATTTAAACCATATATTAATTTTATTTAGTTCAGCATTTGTTTTTTCAAAAAGGTCTTCGATTGTCTTTGCTGAGTAAAATAAGTTTATGTCGTCGCCAAACATTATAGTTTTAAAGATATTAGAGGCATTTGGAAGATATATAGTTTATATAAATAAGAAACAAAAGAGGAGCAAGAATGGAACCTTGGGGTACACCACATTTTGTAAACTCAGTAAACCTGAGTTGCTTTTTTTATCTATAACAACACACTGTTGTCTGTTATTTAGGTAGTTTTTAAAACAATTTAAAGCTTGATTTTTTACGCCATAGTTTTTCATTTTTTCCAGTAAAATCTCGTGGTTGAAGGTGTCAAATGCCTTTGACAAATCAATAAAGATCCCTAATGTGATTTTTTTTTTAAATGATCTGCTTATCCTATTCGATAGGTCAAAGGTTGCATGCTCACTTGAGAGTAGCTTTTCAAAACCATATTGACCTTTATTGATAATTTTGTTCGTTTTTAACTATTCATGTAATTTATTATAGATTATTTGTTATAGAAGCATAGAGAATACCGAAAGGATTGAGATTGGTCTGTAATTGTTTAAAGAATTGGTTTCTGCTGATTTATAGATTGGTATAGTTTTAGATATTTTTAGTTTATCAGGTACAATACCTGCTGTAACTGATGAATTAAATACTTAAAAAACTGGATTACGTATCTCCTCAAAAACATCTAACACTACTTTGCAAGAGATGTCATTGATCCCTAGGGACTTGATTTTAAGTGATTTTATAGCTACTTCAAGTTCGTGTTGATTTATTTCATTGAAACTTAAAGAGGAGTGTGAGCCTGTTAAGAAACTTTTAAATGTACTTTTTGTGCATTGAATTTTTGATGCAAGATCAGCACCAATGTTAGCAAAGTAGTTGTTAAATTCATTTAAAATATCTCGTTTGTTATTTGATTCCCTTTCATTAATTATTACTCTAGAAGGCATTTTGTTAAAATTAGATTTACTTTTACCAATTATTTACTTCATAATGTCCCATTTTTTTTTTAAGTCTCCATTAAATTTTTGTATTTGAATAGAATAATGTATAATTTTATGTTTTTTTTTTATTTTTTTCAAATAAGTTTTTGTATTGTTTGTAGATGGATAGGCTCGCTTCGCTACTATTTTTTAAGTATTTTACGGATAGTTTTTGCTTTTGTTTTGAGCATTTTCTTATTTCTTTTGTTATCCATGGACAATTTAAATATTTTGCTTTTATTTCTTTTTCTTGACTTGAAAAACTTTTATTATACTGTAGGATAAATAAATTTATAAAGTTAATGTACGCAGAGTTTATGTTACCTAGATTACATTCTTGGTAGACCTCTTGCCAATTTGTTGCCGGTAGCAAGTCCTTATATTTTTGAGTAGACGTTTCATCGATTCTTTTATAACATAAGATTTTTGAATTATTAATTTTTGTGGAATTTTGTGACAATGAGAAGTATATTGGAAAGTGATCTAAAATATCTGTTTTTATTATTCCTGATTTTAGAGAAGTATCTTGTATTGAGTTTGTTAATATATTGTCAATAGCAGTAATTGATTTGAAAAGGTATCCTGGTGGGTTTGTTGATAATGGGAAAGATATTAAGTTGAAACGTTGAGTTTGTTGATGTATACAAGGAAAAGCAAAAGCCCCAATATTGACCCTTGATGGACTCCCGAAATTATAGTTTTCGTTAATGAAGATGTCTCCTTAACTGTAGCGTATTGAAATCTATTATTAAAGTAGGATTTAAACTATTTAAGTGGAATTCCACGTACAGCATAGTATTGTAATTTTATATTGAATTAACGGAGAGTAAGTGGAAAACCAGATAATCATAAAGTTGCCATTCAATAACGTTAAATACAAAAAAAACTACCACCCTATCTGACTATGTTTGGGAATTGAAAACTAAATTTAACGAAACCCATTATTTTCAAATGTTTTATCTTGAAAATAAACCCTCCTACTCAAGTATTTCTAAAAGATGCTCACTACGCAAACTTATATATATTTTAAAAATTATGTACATATATGAAAAACTTATAATTATATCTTACGCAAAACCTGAAGAAATTCTAAATAAACGAACAAAAATTATATCTAAGTTCCGTCTTAAAAATACTACTAACCCAGCTAATCTCTAACAATTAATTATTTTTTTTAATCTGCCTCTAAGCTAACAAAAAAACTATTCACATACATAGCTCATATAATATATTTCACAAGACGATAGTTGGAGGGTTCAGATTGTTCTCTGGAGTTTTTGAAATTTGGAACAACTGATGCCATTTTTAAGAGGCAGAAAAACAAGGCTTAGTCAACACTTATTAAATAATTTAGAGAGGACCAAAGAGAGTTCTGGCGAACACTTTTGAATGATTAAAACAATGAACATTGTCATTGTCATTTTGTGACAATGAGAAGTATATTGGAAAGTGATCTGAAATATCTGAGTTTTTTAGTCCTGATTTTAGAGAAGTATCTGGTATTGAGTTTGTTAATATATTGTCAATAGCAGTAATAGATTTGAAAGTTACCCTGGTGGGTTTGTTGATAATGGGGAAAATATTAAGTTGAAACATGTCGTCAAAGAAATTTTTAGTATTCGCATACTCGTTGTACATTAAAATATTTATGTGTTTATCTCCAATAATGAATAACTTTTTCTGCTCTCTATTTTTTGTAATTAAATGTTTCATATAATTCGAAAATTTACAAGTATCACCATCAGGTGGTCTGTAGCATGTAGAAACTAGAAAGTTTTTTGAAGCAGTGTTAATAACTTCCATTCTGAGGACCTCACTATCGCTATCAGAGTTTGAAAGATCATTTCTTATCTTAATATTTAGATCATTTGGTATAAAATTCACAATTATTCCTCCTCTTTTGCTAACTGATCTTTATTTAGAGAATATTTTATAATTTGGAATTTGGAGGCCAGAGTTTGTTTCTGCTGTTTTGTTAGAGCACCAAGTCTCTGTAAGGCAGATCATACTGAAATTATGTTTGCATTCAAGGAGAAAGTTTTTTAGTTTGTCTATTTTATTAAGTAAACTTCTGATGTTTATGTGTATTACCGTAAAGTTATTTATAACTTTAGTTAGTGTCATTAAAATACTGAAGGTTGTTTGATTGTGCATCACAAGCCTACACACGCAGCATAATTTTCCATTTTTAAGTAACTAAATTTATTGAAAAAAGTAGCGTTGTTGATGTAAATTTTTCTTGACCTTCATCCGCCCGCTCTCTCTCGTCAAAAAATTTTTTGAATTATTAATCTTACTAGTCAATGAAATTCTTACATTCTACACTGGTACTGCTTAGTTGTAGGACATTATCATTTAATAATGAGACAAACTACTAACAGCAGCTATTCTTTCAGCAACTGCTATTTGCAATTTCCGAGTTTTTCCTTTTACATACTCGCATTAATAGTGCGGCTTAAACATATTATACCATCTATTTCCTCAATATCGTCAATTTTTTTACTTGAATTTATGGTTGAATAATCTGCGATTTGGACACAATTTATGGCCTAGACAATTTGTTAACTTTAAAAGACAGTCTGCAGTCACTAGGACAATACATCTCAACTCTTTAACTGAGCAACGATTGGTCTTACTAAAAGTATTTAAACATATAACAATAGCATTGCAAAACGTGTATTTAAACAGCAGTATTTATATGTGTTAGAAACAAATTAAAGTTTTATTTTTGATTAAATTATAAGTTTGCCTGACAATCATACTCGGTTCCTCAACCGAAAGTTCTGGCCAAAAGTCAATAAAACCCTTTTTTCATGAATTGCAATGAAAAAAGGGTTTTATTGACTTTTGGTCAGAACTTTCGGTTGAGGAACCGAGTATGATTGTCAGGCAAACTTATAATTTAATCAAAAATAAAATTTTAATTTGTTTCTAACACATATAAATACAGCTGGTTAAATACACGTTTTGCAATTCATGAAAACATAAATGACATAAAATTCTGTCAAGATTTTTTATACAACAATTAAGTTTTTTTTAAGAGTCATGACAGTTCAAAAAAACAATAAAAATTTATGGTGTTAAACTTGTGACGCTATTTGTTGAACCATAGACTAAATTCTAGATATGATATAAAAGTTGTATTAAATAATTTGCAATCTGCACTTTTGGTTTACTAAGAATCCATGTTTTTAAGATATATTACTCTTTTGATGATTTTGAAAATTGGACCATTTGACGTGGAATGACCCATTTGGTGAAACGCTTTTAACTGATCAAACCATATATTATAGTTTTATGGGTCCAAATAACAATTTTTTAGAGTTTGTAAGAAGAAGAACCCTAAACCTAACCGAAATGGAAAGAGACACGAACTTTCTGATTAAATGCTATTCCGCAGTGGCGTTAGGATTGTTTGAACTACTTATATAACTAATAAAAAGTTAAAATAAAAAAAAAAACAACCGCCAACGCTCTCTGCTGAATCCATAACTTGTCAAGCATAAGGTTATTTTTATCTGTTTTTTTACTAAGCTAACATTATCTTTATATGAATGTAGCATTAAACAAAATTTTTAAAATTAAAGTCATATCATTATTTATGGTATGTCTTATTTTAAAAATTATTTACTGATGAATCGTTATAGTGCAGTCTGGCATGATCCTTCGAAACAACGTGGTTCTCAAAGCTCCGATATGGTCCGGTTAGGTCTTTATTATGTCCGATGTGGTCCGAGACGGTATTACATGGTTATTCGTATACATTGCAATGCAGCTATTCTAAATGTCATACAAATAATAGATATATATATAATTATATTTATACTATATAAGTGAAGTTTTAGTAGATAAATTTATTTATAATGTGTTACATAACTTTAAATTTTGCATTAAAACGCTTT